ATAGAAACACAAAGCTAAAAAGTGGGAAATCATTATCGGACGTTAATATCGGCCCAGTTTTACGTATCGGAGTAATACCAATATTCTAAAAAATTACCAATATTAGCCGATACCGATATTATTGCCAATATATCTTGTATCCCTAATACACAGATATAGTGGAATTTACAAAAAAGTTTTAATTATACTTTTCTGACTGCGTGATTTTCATTACAAGCAGAAGGAATTGTGTGTGTGGCATGTTTTTGTTACTTGTTGAGGATGATTTTTCAGGAAATTGCAGCCTCGTGGAGACTGAATGCTCCTTGTGTGGACCAAAGCCCAGTCCCCATGACTTTGGAGGCTGATTTTGGGTGGGGGGTTTAAGACCAAGGTGTGAATTAAGTTTATGCGAAACCTAGGGTAAGGTGTGTACTGGAGTGGTTAACTTTAGAGTAAGGGGTCAGGGTTAGTCTATAAATGACCAGTAAATGAATGGAAGTCAATGGAAAGTCCACACAAGGAAGATAGAGATANTAGTTCTAGTTGGACTCACCTCGACGCACACATCTGACTCTGGAACCAGTCTCCTTGAGAGGGGTTGGACACTCTTCCACTGGAGTTGCCCCTGCTGAGAGGCGCCGAGCAGGAGTGGGCATACTTATAGCCTCTCATCTTGGTGCCTATATGTTGGGGTTCACCCAACGAGAGAGTAGCCTCCCTCCGCCTACGTGTGGGGGGGACAGGTTCTGACTGTTGAAATGCCTATGTGCCTAACACCAGTTCGGATTACCCACTCTTTTTGGAGTCCTTGGAGGGCCTGCTGGAGAGCACTCCTGATGGGGACTCCCTCGTTCTGCTTGGAGACTTCAATGTTCACGTGGGCAATGACAGTGAAACTTGGAGGGGCGTGGTTGGGAGGAACGCCCCCCTGGTCTGAACCCAAGTGGTGTTTTGTTATTGGACTTCTGTGCTTGTCATGGATTGTCCATAAAGAACACCATGTTCAAACATAAGGATGTTCATATGTGCTCTTGGCACCAGGACACCATAGGCCGCAATTTGATGATCGAATTTGTTGTCATTTCATCTGATCTGTGGCCGCATGTCTTGGGCATTTAAGTGAAGAGGGGGACAGAGGTATCAACTGATCACTACCTGGTGGTGAGTTGGCTCAGATGGTGTGGAAGGATGCCGGTAAGACCTGGCAGACCCAAATGTATAGTGAGGGTCTGCTGGGAATGTCCGGCAGATTTTCCCATCAGACTGAGCTTCAACTCACCTTCAGGGGAACTTTGAACACGTTCCAGGAGAGGTCGGGGACATTGAGTCCGAGTGGGCCATGTTCCGTACCTCCATTTTCGAGGCGGCTTATCTGAGCTGTGGCCATAAGGTTGTCGTGCCTGTCGTGGCAGCAACCCTTGAACCCGCTGGTGGACACCAGCGGTGAGGGATGCTATCAGTGTGAAGAAGGAGTCCTATTGGGTCTTTTTGGCCTGTGGGAGTCCAGAAGAATCCGATAGCTATTGGCAATCCAAGCGGATTGTGGCTCGGGTGGTCGCTGAGGCAAAAACTTGGGTGTGGGAGGAGTTCGGAGAGGCCATGGAAAAAGATTTCCACATGGCTTCGAAGCGATTCTGGTCCACCATTTGGCATCTCAGGCGGGGAAAGCGGTTCGCCACAACACTGTTTGTGGTGGGGATGGTGCCCTGCTGACCTCAACTCGGGTCCTGCCCCAAGTGGAGGAGTTTAAGTATCTTGGGGTCTTGTTCACAAATGAGGGAAGAATGGAGTGGGAGATCGACAGGCGGATTGATACTGCGTCTGCATTGATGCAGGCGCTGTCCCGGTCTGTCGTGGTAAAGCAAGAGCTTAGCCAGAAGGCGAAGCACTTGGTTTACTGGTCGGTCTACGTTCCGGTAAACCGAGGGACTCAGAGTAGAGCCGCTGCTCCTCTACGTTGTGTTGAGGTGGCTCAGGCATCTGGTTAGGATGCCTCCTGGATGCCTCCCTGGTGAGGTGTTCCAGGCACGTCCCACTGAGAGGAGGCCCAGAGGAAGACCCAGGATACTCTGGAGGGTCTATGTTTCTTGGCAGGCCTGGGAACGCCTTGGGATTCCCACGGACGAGCTTTGGGGGGAGGGAAGTCTGGGTCTCTCTGCTTAGGCTGCTGTCCTCACGACCCGATCCCGGATAAGCAGCAGAAAACGGAGGGACATAAATAAATGACCAGACATCTGACATGGCTCCCTACTTCAGTTATTCCTGGCTACACCGCATCAGTATCACTATCATGATCAAACAGATGCCGCTCAACCAACCATCTCCCCTCCCAAAACAGAAACACAAAGGTAAAAGTGGGAAATCATTATCGGACGTTAATATCGGCCCAGTTTTACATATCGGAGTAATACCAATATTCTAAAAAATTACCAATATTAGCCGATACCGATATTATTGCCAATATATCTTGTATCCCTAATACACAGATATAATGGAATTTACAAAAAAAGTTTTAATTATACTTTTCTGACTGCGTGATTTTCATTACAAGCAGAAGGAATTGTATGTGTGGCATGTTTTTATTACTTGTTGAGGATGATTTTTCAGGAAATTGCAGCCTCGTGGAGACTGAATGCTCCTTGTGTGGACCAAAGCCCAGTCCCCATGACTTTGGAGGCTGATTTTGGGTGGGGGGTTTAAGAC